TGGGAAGGGCGCCTGGGTGGCTCAGTCGATTAAGCGTCTGTCTTCGGATCAGGTCGGCATCTCAGGGTCATGGGATCGAGCCCTACGTCGGGCTCCGCACTTGGCAGGGAGTCCGCTTGAAAGATTCTCTCCCTCTCCCCTTCTCCCCGCTCATGCTCTCTGTCAAATAAATCAATAAAATCTTAAAAAAAAAAAAAAAAGTGGGAACAACCCAGATGCCCGTCAACTGATGAAGGGATAACAATGGAATATTATTCAGCCATAAGAAGGAATGAAGTCCTAATACATGCTGTGGTGTCCCGAAAACACATGCTAAGAAGCCAGATACATACCGACTTAATTTATATGAAGTATCCAGAATGGGCAAACCCATAGAGACAGAAAGTAGACTGGCGATTGTCTAGGGCTAGAGGGAACGGGGTGGGGAGAGGGGTAGACTGTTAATGGGTCCAGTGTTCCTTTGTAGGGTGATGGAATGTTCTAGAACTAGACACTGGTGTTGGTTGCACAACGTTGCAAATGTGTAAAACATCATTAATGACAAATTCCACATTATTTTACCATAATAAGAGGAGAAGCACTGGTCGTGAGTGTTTAGAGATGTATAAAGCAACCACGCTGACTTCAAGCAGACAATGCTAAGAGTCTGAAGATCTTTGACATCATTATTTTTGCTCAAATAAACTTATATGCACATTTATTGGATTTGGCTCCTTTTCAAAATTGTAACTCAATGAACTCATACACATCTCCTGGGCCACTTGCCATTTCTCACCTCAGGACACATCACACTCCTCATGGCCGTCCCTTGGCCCTAGGCACACAAATCAAGTCATTTCTTAATTGCTGCAAAAGATGCCACCATCAGCCTCACTGGTGAGCATTTGGAGCATCTCCAGGCACTTGGCACCATAAGGAGCTGTCGTGAACGTCCGCACACACGGCTCATTATGTTCTGGGGGTTTCGTCTCTGCGGGATGGAGGCACAAAAGTGGGGTCGCTGGGCAGAGTCATGGGCGCACCTCCTGTGGATCAGAATCCTCCGAGCTCCCCGTCGCAGGGCCAGATGTGACCAGTGTCTATCATTCTTCCCATGGCAAACTGACCCCGCACACCCACCGAAGGGTGGCCCAGTGGGACACCATGTGGGCACATTGATGGGATTTGGCCATGGGTGGGGTTGGCCTCGTTACGTAGCCCAGGTTTGGGGACCCCCGGGCAGGGGGTCCGCAGATCCTTTCCGGATGTGATGGGAGCTCTGAAGTTCCCCCCCAGAGCACGCGTGTGTGCTCACACGCACATTTTGCAGACAATTGCGGGGGCTCGGGCAGAGAAGCCCGCCCGCGAGCCCCCGCCACTGAGGCCTGCTCTTGAGTTTCCGATGTGGCATAGACTGCACATCTCTGACATTTCCAGGGAACACAAACAGCGGCGTTTTTCTAAATGCTAATGGGTTTCTGTGCCCTCTGCTGGATGCTCGCGTCGTGAGGCCGGCCCTGCGGAGGCAGAGCAGAGCGCCTGGAATTTTCCTCTCATCTTAGAGCTTTTTTTTTTTTTTTCCCTCCTGCGCAACTGGCCCTGCAGTTTTCAGTTCGGAACGACTTTCTGGAAGTTGCTGAAGAAGCCCTGTACTTAATACCAAAATCAGCAAGTTTCAGGGAAATTATTTATCTCCCACTTTGGGAATTATTAGTTCCGGATGGAGACTCTTATTGTATAAGGTTTGCTGAAAATTTATGAGGCTATCTGGAAACCGGGAGCGTATTGATTCCCGGTGAGTAAACATTTTAAGCAAATTAAGTGGTGCTAGTAATAATAATAATAACGGGCACTATTTTTCAAGTGTCTGCTCTGTGCCAGGCATTTAATCCCTCCAGTGATGACAGGGGCAGGTTTTATTACCCGAATGTTACAGTCGAAGACACTGAGAGATGCAATTGCTTGGCCCCACGCCACACAGCCGATGGAGGAGGAAAGTTCTCAACCCCACCTGCCGGATGGCCAGCCCAGGAGGGCCACAGCGGCGAGGCTTCGGGCCCCAAGCGCTCTGCCTCATCCGTCCTCCCGTCTCCAAAACATGAGCAGGTTAGAATGGAGACGACAAGGACTCTGACAGATGGAGAAGCTGAGGCCCTTGGCCCTTGACAGTTTGCCCCCAAGGTCACACACTCACTAGGAGTGGAGAAAGGAATAGAATCCAGGCCCACAAAGACCCCGAGAACAAGACACTGTTTTTCAATCCCAGCACAGTCCTCTTGCCTGCAGAAGCCTGCTCTATGTTAACGGGGAGACTGGTGAGGGTGGGGAGGGGTCGAAGGTACCAAACAGACTTTCTCCTTGTCGGAATCAGGACTCAGAGCAATCTGCACCGGGACGAATGCCCCCAGCCTGTGTCTCAGTGCCATTTGAAGCAGTCTCAGGGCCACCGAGAAAGTCCCCCAAGTTGCCACCAGGGGGAATGCCCTTCCTTCCAGCTCTCTGGGAAGCTCTGGTTGGTGAATTGTCCTCGGGTGAGGAAAGCACCGGGGTCCGAGATGCAGGGAGACTCAGTGGCAAGAGAGAGACGCAGGGGGTAGTCTGAGGTCCAGAGGGGCAGCCAAGGTGCCCACATCCAGGTTCTGGAAGATGCTGGAGACCAGGCCAATAGACTGGATGCAGAGGAAAATTCCGCATCTCTGTCCAGCTGCCTCTGAGACCATGGCGGCGGCAGGGGGTCCCAGGCGCTGGATGGCTAGGAGGCTGGGTGAGCCGAGCCAGGCCTGGCCAAGATGTTCACATTGCCCTCTGGACCCCACAGTGTGTATGACCTCTTTCTGATTTGTACTGCATTGCCTTCTAGAAAAGATTTGAGGCAACTTCCAATTAAACATGTGTACAAGAAAGAACAACTTGTTATAACTCACTCAGGGCGAGGGCAAGGGCAAGGGGAGGGTATTTGCCCCAGCTGAGCATCCTGGCAAGCAAGGTGAATGGGAACACGTGGGGGGCAGAGCTCTCATTGTCTGCTTGTAATGAGCAGTCCCCCACCCTCCAAGGGCTGTTTTCCAGGCTGACCCAGGGAGAACAGAGCTGGGTATTATACCCAGAAGACTACCCAGAGCCCCCTTCCAAGAGGCAGCCCACCCCATCCTGCACCCGCAGTGAGGCCCACCTGGGCGATCACGGACCACAGTGATTCATACTGAAGACCATCCCCAGAGCCTTGGGCCTAAAAGGATTTCAGGGTCCCACAAAAATGCTTGAATTGACCCCACAAAAAATTTTTCTGTTGGCTCCACCAAAAAAAAAAAAAAAATTCTTAATGAAATATCTATGACATGTAACGTGATTGTGACCGATTGCAAATCAACTCTTCTTTGGCTATGGACATATTTTATTCAGTACATGATGCAAGCTTGTTTGAATATAATAGATAGTATGGTAAGACCGTCTCTAATGAAGAGCCCTCAGGACCTGTAGGAGCGTGCACATGACCCTGTCACAGACTGAGCCAAATGTCAGCCGTGGAGTTTAGAACTTGCCCCTTTTCTGGCCGAGTGTTTAATTGAATTAGGGGCATATGAAGATACGGTGTTTGCCTGCAAAGTTTTGGGGACAAGTGTCAGGCAGTTGGCTCTGGTAACAACAGACAACAGAGCAAAGCTTCTGGCAAACACATGACTTTGAGTAATGCCACTTGTTAAGTTAAAAGGGTGCCCGAGTCGCCCCACCAACACACCTCATTAGCTAAATGAATTGACCCAATGGATGGGGTTATTTAATATCTGTCTACTGACTTTAGAGAATGTCTGCCAAAAACAAGATCTCAGTTTTGACACAGTTGATGCTGAGCTCTATTTTTTTTTTTTTTCTGACTATTATTTGTCAAACGGATTGCTGCGCGGGGTACGGCCACATCTACCAAGTGTAAAGCCGCATCATCAACACGGATCTTCCTTGTTATGACAGCAGGAAATGCAGCCAATTAATTTAAAAGCCGAATCCAGTTATCGGGATGTGTGTCGGAAAGAAGGGCAGCCGGGATACAGGGCTGTTTTCCATCACTTTGAAAACAGAACTTCCACGGTTTGAGAGACCATTGTCACGGAGACGCGTCCCAGAAGTTGTGCCAGAATATAGGGCTTTAGAGGAATATACATAACTGTGGGGTGGGAGTGTGGACGATACCTATCACCCAGCAAGACCCTGGCCCCTCGAGCCTGTGGCTTCTGAGCCGCGAATGTTCCAGGTGCCCTGAGCTGCTTCTGCCCCTTTCCTCACCGAACTGGCGTAGAGTTTGGCAACAGGAGGCCGTCCCATAGGTGTGCTTCAGATCTGCTACTCCTTCCGTACCACGCCACCATGTTTAAAAAAAATTCAAGTCAACGCTCAAAAGGCAGAATGTATCCTATCAAAAGGCTCTGGAAAAATCTAGCCGCCCTTGGCTCGTGTTTCTGCTGGAGCTGATTCATGGCGCGCTCTCCAGACAGGGCTGTGCATGTCAGCTTCCCCTCTGGCTCCCAATCCCAGCTCAGGCACACGGCAGGCTGGGCCCCTTGTGAGCTACAGAGCCTGGAACTAAGCATAGGAAGGATGATGGTGTTGCCACGGGGGTACCTAGCGGGGAAGGAGAACACCGGAGGGAGGAGGGGTGCGGGGGAGAGGTGTGCTTGGACCACTGGGGATAGGACCAGAGGACAGAGGTGCCAGTTCTGATTCTCTCCTCTACGAGCTCATCGTCATCCTTCACACGGTCTCCCCCAAATCCATGGCAACTTATCACCTTTCCCCAAGACTAATAAAGGCACCCTGGCAGAGGACGTGACCAGAGAACCAAGCTCTCTCTGCCTCACTCGTCCCCCAGCCCCCAAGCCCCGATTCCAGCAGCAGACCCCGCAGAGATGGCTCAGGAAAACTTCGGGAACATCACTAGCTGCGACAGCATGCAGCAGGCAGTTCCCGGGCTTCACAAACTGAAATTCGCAGCCCACCCTGCACACGACCCCCCCCCGACACTTGCCAGTCCTTGTTCTGGGCAATAGCAACCTTGCTGTCCTCATCATTGCTATTACTTCTATTATGCTGATGTGTTAGACGGTCTCCAGACGCGAGACGAGAGAAGGTAATTGGCTCTCATCACCCCAAGCAGCGTTATTGGATACAATGTACAAATAGCTTAAAATTAACGACTGGCATCAGAGGCCCGCTCAGTCCGTAATGGATTACGGAATGAACACAAACTCACCTACTTCCATCAACACCCTCCCCAAGTCATTTGCAAACAGGACCCATAATTGAGTATCTGATTCAGATTAATTGCCATGCTTTCTTGGCTTCCTGCTCCCTGAGGGCCACTGCGATTTTGAACTCTGAAAAGTGACCCAAGTCAGCTTCGAGGTGCAAACGTTCCCAGGGGGAGTCAAACTTGGCTCTTCTTGGAGCCAAACCTGGACTTCGCCCTGCGAAAATCCTTGTTCGTGATCAAGTTCTTTGGGTCCTTTGTCCCCGACTTTGCCATCCAATAGAAGAGGAACATCCTCCGTTCACTGTGCCTGTGGTTCAGGCGCTGGGCGACGGACATGGGGCTCTCCCCCCTGTCATCTCTTTCGTTGATGGAGGCACCGTACTTGAGCAGGTGGCTTATACAATCCAGACGGTCCATGGCTGCGGCCACGTGCAGGGCTGTCCTGCCCATGGGGGTTCTGCTGAGACTGTCGGCTCCTGTAAAATAAGACGACTGATTGAGCGAGGCTCACCCTCCCGGCCGGGAGCCTCACCTCCAGGATCACGTTCAAGAAGAGAAGCTTGGGAGGGGTGAGGTCGTAAAAAGAATGCTTGGGAGAATCTATTACTGCCCCTGACCCCAGCACCAAGCATAAGGGAGGAGGCATCGCTGCACTGTCCCAGCACCCGGCTCTGCCTTGCCTCCAGTCTGCCCACGGCACGCTCCTGCTCAAACCCCATTTCTGGCATCCACTACCCTTGGGGTCATTTTCTAGGTCGTTACTGCTCTATCTCACCCTGCCACCTTCCCCACACAACGCTCTTCCTCCCCTCCCTCCATGCTCCAAGTTTACCAGGCTTCTATCTTTATGCCTTAAATACCCCCTGCTCCTGCATCCCGCCCCAGGCCTTTTGCACATGCTGTTCCCTTTGCTAACAGCACTGTTACCCATTTCTGTCCCCCACCCCCGCCACCCCTGGCTAACTCCATCCTTCTTTATCCTCCATACACTTCCTCAGGAAAGCCTTCCTTAGCCCCCCCCCCCCCAGGAATCCCGCCCCCGTGCATATGCTCAGTAGACATTCTGCATCTTCAGAACATGCCACGCACGACTGACCATGGAATTAATTATTTGTAATAATTTGCTGACTTCCCTTCATAAACTCCACGAAGGCAGAAAACACACTTGTTTTGATCACTGCTGTTTTCATCCCCGGCACGTAGCGCGATGCCTAGAAAAGACAGGCGCTCGGGAAATGACAGACGACGGGCAGCCTGACTCATGGACAGATTTCACTTCGATTGAATTCCTCACTGCCTCCCGCAGGTGGATGGGCTAATGACAGGTGTCCAATATGGACTTGTTGAATTGAATCAAATTCTGGGTAACAAATATCATGACACAGAAAACAAGGCAATTCAATTACAAGCAGCTGACATTTCTGTAGCCAGTTTTTATGAGCTATGGCTGGTCGGTGAGGTAACGTTTTAAATAGGTTCTCCTAACGCCCAGCCTCAGCCTCGGCACGGCTTTGCAGCAAAGGACAGAAAACTTTGCAAAGCTGGCTGTAATGTTTTAACTGGGGCTTTCAAATACATCACAGTTCCATCAGAGTGAAAATGACTTTTTATGAGCTTAAAGGACTGCTGGTCTGTGAACAGCCCATATTTCATCCCACAACAGGCAGCGTGCCGAAAGCAGTGGAGGAAGAAGCAGAATAGTCAGGAAAACCTCTACCCAACACGCGAGCGCCAGGCATCCCGCCCCGGCCCCGGGATGCTTGCACCTTGCCTGGTGGAGGTGGGAAAAGAGGCAAAGAGACGCAGAGAGAGGCCGGGGTCAAGACCGCGGGCAGGAAAGGTTTGGATTGGAAGGCAAGCTGATAGGGGAGACCCTCGGATGAGGCCCCCTTCTGGGCCTCAAATCCCTGACCAAACAGTCTGTCACATGTTCTTCCTGTTCCTGAGGAAGCCGGCGGCCTGGGCAGTCTGTGGCCATTGTCTATTGTTCTGGAATGGTCGACACCTCAATCTGAGGGCCTCTTTTCCCAAAAATATCCTACGTCCAGGGAAGATAAAGTGTGCTCCAGCAGATCTCAGGCAAGCCCTCACATTCAGAGACAATGCAGGCCAAGGCTTCTATTTCTATCAACAGAGAGAGAGGGGGCAACTTGTCCTTGAAGGCGGGGGAGAGACGGGGATGGAGAGGAGATGAAAAGAGGGTTTGGGGCAAGGGTCTCTTGAGGGAAATAATTCAAAGTCATGGAGAAAGGAGACTGGCCGGCCTGCCACACACACACACACACACCCCCCAAGAGAGCGATGGTGGCTTGGGGCTAGAGCCCCCAGACCGTGGTAGAAACCCAACTTCAAGTGGGGCAGAAATAACACAGGGAGCTTAGGAACATCTCCAGCAGTGTTGTAAGAGGCCAGGAAGCTCTTTTGGCTATTCCTGTGAATTAGTGTCCAAAAATTCCATCTCCCACGACAGAAAGAATCTTCTTGAGACCCGGCCAAGAGAGGGGACAACAGCCTTTACTCAGCATGTCCCAAGACCCCTACAGAGAGCCAGTGGCCCACAGGGACCATGATTGATGGTTGACACAACTTGGGTCCAGGACGCCATTGTTGAAGGGCCCAGGAAGACTAGCCACTCTGTCCTCCCTACCCACAGAAGACCCCACCTTCTGAACATACTCATCCGTCTCTCAGAATTACCGTGTTCTAGAAGGTACTGCACAGCAGCCGAGTGGCCTCTGTGAGAGGTAATGTACAAGGCCACGAACGCTCTCTGAGCGATCCAGTCCTTCCACTGCTTGTGTTCCAAATGCTGCGAATTTGCAGTTTGGTAGAGCGAGTCTTCATCAACACCGAGGCAGGAGAGCTAGGCAGGATAAAGGGGGTCCACACAGTGAGTCTGAGTTAGTTCCAAAGTGCAGGTACACCTGGCTGGTGGGTGCCTGGACCCTCCTGAGGGAAGGTTTGCTCGAAGGCCCAGTTAAGGCTCGTGATGGGAACAGAGAGGGGCAAACCCTAACTGAGAAGCTGGAACACACCCAGGGGAGGACATTGTTGACCACGCGCTATACATGTCCAGGAAATACGCATTTACCATCAGGCAGGCTCGGGAGGCAGGAAATTCTTCCTGTCGGTGTTTTGAAGAGAGAAAATAGCTTTTCTGGGTGTCCAGAGGAAGGTGGTTGCGGCCATTAAGGAAGACACCAGACGACACGAAGTGGCCTCCCCAGAGGGGAATGCACTTCTCTGGAGACTTGATGTATTCTGGCCTTCCGATCTATTTTCGGGCCCATTGTCTCCGTTAACTTTTGGAACACTCTGAACTCCACTCACAGATGAAAAATAGCCCCATAATATAATCATCTCGTGGTGAAGTCAGGCCCTGAGCACGAGAGGAAGGCTGCGGGCTCTGGCAGAGAGGAACTCCGTCCCAGATGTGGGGCATCCAGTGCGGGGGCGGCAGTGGGGGTAGGCAGAGCCCCAGAGTGTGGGAGACAGGAGGGAATCCCCGGGTTCAGAGCAAGAGCCAGAAAACCCAGGCAACACCGAGTCCCCGGTGGCAGAGGGGAGGCAGGGGAAGGCCAGGAGCAGAGGACCCCAGGGAAGGACCTGGAGGGGATGCTCAACAGCTGGGACATGCCCCACCCCTCCTTCTAAGGCTCCCGCACACAGGCAGTGTTTGCCTCCCTAGAGACCACCCACCTCTCCCGGACCTGATTCCCGCAAGCTGCCTGCAGCCAGCCTTTCCTGGCTGGAAGTAAACCCTCTCCTCACACGCTCATAGCCTTTCATCCAAATGTACTTTGTAGAAGAACATACACTCGCCCCCCTCCGCGCCACCCCCACCCCCACCCCCACCTTCTCTGTTGGGTATAGATGTTCTGGTTTCCTGGTTTCCTCCTCCCTTCTCCTCGCTGCCCACCCCAGAGCTCAGCTGAGAGCCAAGCACAAGGCCTGGAAAAGAGTAGGCACCTGCTGTGTATCGAGTGGTGTGTGCTCTTTCCACCTTAGGGGAGGGACAGACCCCCATTAGGATTTTTGACCTATCACATGCTCTAGATTGTGCACTTCCCAGTTCTCCGGAGCCCTTCACCCACTGTTAAATCAGGTTTTCAACTTTACAAAATATACATGTGAATAGAAAATGCACCACCCTGGTTCCTTTTTCTTTGGGGTGTGCGTGTGGGGGTGGGTTATAAGTGAATACCATGAGATAGCAAACCCAAGAGTGAGTGGAAACTCTCAATATAGTATTTAATCATTATGACATGAGTCCAAGTTCTGTTTTTTCCTACTCTGAAACTTTTACTCAAATATTCACATGAAAGACTGAATCCCCACCCCCCCCACACACACACACACAAGACACAGTTTACGGTTGCTTCATGAAGTATAATATCCATTTAGAGAAGCATGAAAGCACCTTACTGGGATCCCCTTCCACAGCCGCCAAAACCAGTTCCGTCCATCCATCATAATGCCAGATACATAATGAAATAATTCCACCAGGAACAACATCATGGAACTTCAACGTAGTATCATCCATCAAAACTCCTACAGGGAATAATTTTTTCTTTAAAAAAAAGGGGGGTATTAAAGATAAACTATTATGCTGGTTATCTTAAGAGATGATCTGACCTTGGGTATCACAAAGATCATTTGAAAACCTTGAGCGCTAATCTCATTTGATGACTCCATATGAGTCTGTTTGTGGCCATTAATGCTTTTTAGAAAATTTATTTGGCCCGGCTCAAACAGAAGCCAGCTCCCCCCTCCCCCCCTGCCAAAAAAGGGCAACAGTTTCTAAAATTCTGTAATTATAACTTGTTCTATTGCAAAAAAAATACATGAGGCAGTAAAGTCATTTTATGAGGCGAACTCTATAAATAGGACTACTCGAAGTAGCTGTACATTACAGACGCAGCACAATGGACCTGCGTGCGTCATACACGAAACTAAAATACTTCTCTCTGGTTAGTGTTGTCAAGAGTTGGCTAAGGATGTAACAATGGCAAAACTTTGTTGCATCTTTCAAATGCTACTCTACAGCAGGTTGTTTTTTTTTTTTTCCAACTTGGCACTATTGACATTTTAGACTGGATTGTTCTCTGTGGCGGGGGCCGCCCTGGGCACTGTAGGGTGGTAGCAGTGTCCCTGGCCTCTACCCAGATGATGTCAATACCACCCTCACCTAGTTGTGCCCATCCAAAAGGTCTCCAGATGTTGCCACATGGCCCCTGGGGGACAAAATTGCCCCAGCTGAGCATTTATGGTAATGTAAATATTGTCACGTTGGCATTCACCATGATTTGGACTTGGGGCTTTGGAACTCTTTTATGTCATCACCCAGAACAACCCTCCACTCGTATGAGACAATGGGGTGAGTGGATCTACTCACACTTCATACGTTCAGACCCTTTGGGAAAGCCTGCCAGGATGATAGAATATAAAAGAGGACTCTAGAGCATTTTAAGCGAAGTTGTCTTTAGTTTACCTTTTTAAATAAACACACGTTTCCTTACAGAGCCACCTATAATCTTGCTTAAGAATAACATCATAGGGCGCCTGGGTGGCTCAGTTGGTTAAGCGACTGCCTTCGGCTCAGGTCATGATCCTGGAGTCCCTGGATCGAGTCCCGCGTCGGGCTCCCT